AAATTGATTAGTTTTCTCTTTTGTCGAAGTTTACCACTGTTTCCATCATGGTTTTTTGTTCGATGACCGTGCCTCGTCCTTCTCGTTATGTTTATAAGAATTTCTTACGTTTTCTTTACTTAATACACTGTGAAATCGATTAGTTTTTCTCTTCTGCCGAACCTTTGTCGAAGTTTACTACCGTTTATATTACGGGTTTATTGTTCGATGACTATGCCTCGTCCTCCTCGTTTGATTTAGTTTGGTTGTAATATGACGGCTGACGCGAACGTACTTGCCATAAAAGTTTAATATCAATTTCTTTAGAATATCATTTCTAATTCTCAAGTTTATTGTTACGTTATTTGTCAAATTCGAAATAGTTTTTTCGATGATCTTCTCGGTTTATAGTTTCTTCGATATCTCGATATTTAGATCGTGAAGATTTTCCTAGTAACGCGAATGTATTTACGCGCCACTATTCTATTCTGCTCCTGTTATAAAATTTCTCGAAACATGGAGAATCGTTAAACGCATCGATCGAGTGTGTGTGTGTGTATAATACAATACGATAAATAAATCTTTCGTATAAAATTTGACGAAAACCTGATCTCTATGCATCTCCATGTATAGAACAAATATCATTCTGACTTCGGTGCGTTCTTATCGCAGTTGAAACGGTTTTGCAACGGTTATGCGATGGTGGAAAAAGTTGCTATTCCTAAATTTATTCGGCCGATAAAAGCGAGAGGCGAGGTTCGCCCGATATTTCACCGTGGATCTGTATTGTCCCCCTCCTGTTTATTATCGAACAAGGAGGAAAGAGGGAGGGGAATATTTCGGTGGAAAATAAACGAGCGAATTTACCGTTTGTTATTTCTCCCTCCCTCTCTCTCTCTCTCTTTCGATGTTGTTTCGACTACTCGAGTCGAGTCGTGTAAGAAATTAAATCGCAATGGAGAGAACTGGTTGAGAGCGGCTGGCTGGCTGGCTGGCTGGCTGGTTGGTTGGTTGGTTGGCTGTTCTATTTTCTTGGGTTTGCAATTGCAGTTGCAGTTGCGCGTCGCGGGCCATCTGTTTTGTACGCGAGCGGGTTTCGTTATGCCCCAACTCCGGCTCGTGTGACACCTCTTGTATTAAAACAATACCGAATGACGGGTGTAGCCACGGTAAAATATGGTTTATATGCAAATTACCACCGCCACCGGCCTCCCCTTTCCTCCCTACTTTGGTCGGCATTTTTCATTTCATCGCGACCACCGACACCCGATCTTTCCTATTATTTCCATTTTTCTTCCTTTTCCTTTTCTTTCTCTTTCTTTTTTTTATTTTTTCGTAGATCAAACTCGAAATTCGTTTCTTATCCAAATAATCGTAAGAATCGTTCGGAAATGATTGATTCATTAAAAAAATTCTTTCTCACGATTGATTTAAGAGAGTCTCGTTCCTGAAGATGATTTTGTTCGAAAAACTTTCGTTACTTTTAAAATATTGCTCGATGAAAACGTATTGTTCGTTCTATTTTTAATAATTCTGAACTGTCAACTGTCTTTTTTTTTTTGGTGGCAACAAATGGCGCAAAATTCAAATCTTGTGTGAATTTTGGGACATCCTTTACTTTCGAAATTTCCATTCCAATGGAAATTTGCGCATGTTTTTATCAAGTGATTTGATTCGAAGACGAAGGATCTTAAACTACGGTATATCAGTATGTTTTATCCAATACTATGAGTCTTTTAATAGTTATCATTGATCTTCAAACACATTTAATTCGATTTCATAATTCATAATTAAGAAACAAACGCAGATCAATTTTGAAAATTCGATCGAATATTGATTATCGATCCACGAATCATTCATCTTTCGCGTATCGATCTATATATATATATGTCGGACATGTATCATGCACGTGTGCATAATAATTAACGATATGACGATTCCTTCCACCCCCTGCGATTGGCATTGGCAGTAATTAATTAGAAGGGGTTCGGGTGGATATAAAATATATAGAGTGAAAAGTGAACATGGAAGGCGAGGTTAAATTATTTGTCCAAATTTAAATTTAAATTTTTGTTTACGATTTATTTTATCGAGAAAATAATAACACTATTTTCAAACGGGTGAT